ACCACATGATGGCTCACAACCATCAGAAAAGAAAGTCAAAAAGAAATATACCTCCCAAAGGCCCCTCTGACTTTCCAGGAGACGCCAGCTATGGAAGGCCCGCGGGCCGGACTCACAGTGTCGGGCACACAAGGCAAGCTCTCAAACCACTCAGCCATATCCCTAGCACCCAACCCTTCTCCCACGCATGCTATGTAACTGCTTCATTGCTCCCATCTTAACCTACAGTTCTCTTTCAAATGTATTAATTTACTTTAAAATTATTCTCTGAAGGGGGGTGGGGTTAGGGCTGGGGCTTAGTGGGTAGAGCATGGGGCCTCCCATGCATGAAACCCTAGGTCTAGTCCCCAGTTCTGTTTGTTTTAAGTAAACTTTTGTTCTGGTGCCATGACTCAGCAGTTAGTCCAATAACGTGAGTTCAAGCCCTGTAACTATGGAGGGAAGAGAGAACAGACTCTGAGAAGTTGTCCTCTGACCTGCACTTGTGTGTATGAACACATACATGCCACACATTCACAAATAGTAAACATAAAGTAAAAAATTAAACACCAAGCAAACTTTCTCCCAAGTGCATTAAGCTTCAAGAGGATGGGGTGCTCACACTTCAGACTGATCTGTGCCTGGTTAATGTTGGGGCAGGGGAGAAGGAGGAAATGGGAGGGGAGAGAGGGAGGGAGGGAGGAAAGGAGAGAGGGAGGAAGGGAAAGATGGAAGGGAGGGAGGGAGGGAGGGAGGGAGGGAGGGAGGGAGGGAGGGAGGGAGGGAGGGAGGGAGGGAGGGAGGGAGGGAGGAAGGAACCTTGAGGACCTGACACCATTTTTCACATTTTCCTAGCTCCTATGTCTGGTTCCTCCCAGCAGTGGAAGCTGATATCACTTCTTTACAAAACAAGTCTTTGGAGAAGAAATTCGAGTCTTGGGCCTGTTTGCCCACTTCAAGGGATTTCCTCTCGCCTGATTTATTTTGCTTTATGTGTATGAGTGTTTTGCCTGCATGTATGTATGTGCACCACCTGTGTGCCTGCTGCCCATGACTGCCAGAAGAGAGTGTCAGATTCCTCGGAACTGAAGTTACCAATGGATGTGAGCCACCATGTAGATGCTGAGAACCCAGCTGGGTCCTCTGCACGAGCAGCAGTGCTTAACTACTGAGCCATCGCTCCGGCCCCTTAAAGGCTCTCTTATTGGTTCATTTTTAGACTGCATTTGGCATTAACAAATGAAAGAGAAGTGGTTGGAGGCGTCCTTTGTGTGGGACCTCGACTTAATCCAGCCAGAGTTAAAGGTTGACAATAAGGAAGCACCCAAGCCCACCTTGGTGACAGGTTGACCCTAAAAGTGAAGGCGGCAGGTGGCAGAGATAACAGCGCCATGGATGGAAATGAGAATCTAAGGGCAAGCAGGGCAGGTTGGAGAGGTGGCTCAGGTTAGGAGCATTGGCTGCTCTTCCAGAGGTCCTGGGTTCAACTCTCAGCACCCACATGGTAGCTCACAACTGTCTGTAACTCCATTTCCAAGGGACTTCCACTTTTTTGTGGCTCTGTGGGCACCAGGCTCACTTGTGGCACACAGATATGCAGGCAAACACTCATAAACTTTTTTTTTTTTTTCGAGACAGGGTTTCTCTGTATTGTCTTGGAGGCTATCCTGGAACTCACTCTGTAGACCCAAGCCCTGAGAATGTAGGCATGTACATGCTTGCCTGACCCAAGCACTAGAGAATGCAGGCATGTACATGCTTGCCTGACCCAAGCCCTACATCCTGTAAAATATTTATTAGCTTGTGCTAGAGAGTCAGCCTTGGTTTGAAAAGATCCAGTTTCTTGGGAGGTTAGGTCTTTAAAGGGCTATTAACAGGTGTGAACTGAAAGACACACCAGATACGTGGAGGCCCTGATTACAGCTGGCAGGCTGGACTGCCAAGGTATGTCTAAGAAGGTTGGAGAAAACTGGCTGGACACGGGGTGAGGAGGGAAGGGCCTGGGATAAGAGAACAGCAGGTGGAGCCGTGTGTATTCACATCCATTCCCTCCCTTTAGGACTGGCCTTCTCTTCAGAGGATGCTACTGCGGACCATCATGTAAAGGCCCTTGCCACACAAGCCTCTTAACCCAATTTTAATCCCTGGGTCCCACAGTAGCAAGACCCAACACCACAGAGTTGTCCTCTGACCTCCAGATGCCCCCCCATACCACACACCCACACACACAACCACACACCCACACACACAACCACACACACACACACACACACACACAGAGTAATAATACATTTAAATGGTTCCTATAAGTTGCCTTACAGAAGCTCACAAGCAGGGTCTCCTGGGAGAGTGCAGAGGTGACCACAGAGTCTCCTCACCAACCTCCAAAGACCCCCTGAGCTCCACCTCTACAAGCCTTCATCTGTTACTCTTCTAAACCTGAGGCACATGGAATCCCTGCGAGGGGTTCTCCAAGTAAGTTCCAGAGAAGAGGTGCAGTTTTGTTTTTGTTTTAATTTTGAAGCAGATCTTACTATGTAGGCCTGGCTGGCCCTGGAGTTCATATGTAGACCAGGCTGGCCTCAAACTCAAAGATCCTGCCTCTGCCTCCCAAGATCTGGGATTAAAGGTGTGTGCCACCACACCCCATCTGGTGCTCTGATTTTATTATTTTTTACTTGTTATGAGTTTTTAAATAAGAATTATTACATTTACGTGTGTGTGTATGAGGAGAGAGAGAGAGAGAGAGAGAGAGAGAGAGAGAGAGAGAGAGAGAGAGAGAGAGAGAGAGAGAGAATGTCAGAGCATAACCTGCAAGAATTGGTTCTCTCCTACTATCTTTTGGGTTTTTTTTTTTGTTTTGTTTTGTTTTTTTTTCGAGGCAAGGTTTCTCCGAAGTTTTTGGAAACTGTCCTGGAACTAGCTCTTGTAGACCAGGCTGGCCTCGAACTCACAGAGATCCGCCTGCCTCTGCCTCCCGAGTGCTGGGATTAAAGGCGTGCACCACCAATGCCCGGCTCTCTCCTACTATCTTGTGTGTCCTAGAACTGAACTGAACTCACGCTTGGCAGCAGTGCCCTTGTTGTGCCCCAGAGACCACCAGGAAGACAGACCCACTAAACTGCAAAAGCAAGGTTTAATGATTGTTCATCCAACCATAACAGGGACCTCATCTGGCTAGCTGTCACAGCAGCTCCCAGAGGGAGTGAAGTTCCCTGTCTACTGCTAGGTTTTAAAGACAAAAGTTACAGGATTATTATATCAGTTGGCACAGGTTGTTTTCTAATTGGTTAACATTTGGAAACAATCAGGAGAATTTCTCAAAGTCATATTTTGGCATGAAATACCTGTGTACCAATTATTTTCATAGGTCAGTGCTGAGAGGGAATATTCTGTGGTTTCTATGGCATTGTCTTGTTACTTGCAGGTGGCCTGTTGTTCATAGATACCAATAGTTTTCAGAACTATATCCTGGAGACTACAGGGAAGGTTTTGGTCTCCCCTGGAGTTTCTTTTGTCTTTGTGTTCAGTTTTGGCCCTAGACTCTGGGAGGCCAGAGGATCTGGAGTTTCCTTGTGTCAGAGGCCTATGTGTCTTTTCTGTAGCCTGTCATGGTTACTAAAGCAGGGGCTGAGTGAGGGTCTGGTCCCCTTATTTCTAAATTATCAGAAGTGAAGCCCTTGAGTTCAGTTTACCCCTTTCACCCTTACCCACTGAATCATCTTGCAGACTTCCTTTTTTTTCTATGAGAAGAGCAAACATAGATGTGTTAAGGAAAAGTGAGAGGATCATCTGAGAGTGGGAGACGATCCTGGGGAGGGACGCCCAAGCTTGCTTTGGTTCTTTGTTTTGTTTGGACCGGGTATGATTGCCTCAGGCTGTCTAAGCAGTCAAGAATGACCTTGAACTTCTAAACTACTTTCTTACCTCCTGAGTGCTGAGATTTCAATTTTGTACCGCTATGCCCAGTCAGTTTGTTGGGTCTGGGATTGAACCTAGGGGTTTTTTGTTGTTGTTGTTCATTTTATTTTTATTTCATTTTTGTTTTCCGAGACAGGATTTCTCCTTGTATAGCCCTGGCTGTCCTGGAACTATTTCTGTAGACCAGTCCTGCCTCTGCCTCTGGAGTGCTGGGATTAAAGGTGTGTGTCACCACCAACCTGCAAACCTAGGTTTTGTTAAGCAAGCACACTACCAACTAAGCCATTCCCAATTTATTTGTATGTTTGTTTGTTTAGAGAAGCTCAAGTTGACCTGGAACTTGACAAGTAGTCCAGGCTGGCCTCAATTTACAGTCTTCCTGCCTCAGCCCCCCAAGTACTGAGATCACAGGCTTCACACTTGATTGTTTTCTCATTGGTTCCTGCTTGCTTTGGAAGTGAGAACAGCCTATGACGAATGTTCATGTGCTACCACCGCTACATCATTTGGCACCTGAGGATCCTTTCAGCTGAGACTATATCGTGTTTTCAGCTTCATGAATTGGTGGTTCCTTCTAACTAGTGCTTCCTTCTCCTTGATCTGTTGCTCAGCTCGAACATTGCTTCCTAAGAAAGAAGTAGAAGGCTGGAGAGATGACTCAGACATTAAGAATACTGGCTGTAGCGGGGCGTTGGTGGCGCACGCCTTTAATCCCAGCATTCAGGAGGCAGAGGCAGGCGGATCTCTGTGAGTTCGAGGCCAGCCTGGTCTACAGAGTGAGTTCCAGGACTCCAAAGCTAAACAGAGAAATCCTGTCTTGAGAAACCACAAAACAAAACAAAAACAAACAAAAAAAGACTGTTACTCTGAGAAACCCTGTCTCAAGATATATATAAAAAAAAAAGAGTGCTAGCTGCTCCCCAAGGCCCTGGATGGATCCCCAGTACCGACATGGCAGTTCACGGCCACTCTAGTCCCAGGGGATCAGACCTCCTCTTCTGTCCTTCCTGGAGACCAGGCACACAGGCAGGTAAAACACCTATACACACCAAATAAATATTTCTAAATAGAAAAAAACAGAAAACTCTACTAAAAGTGGCTTGACTAACGAAGACCTTTATTACCTTCCAGAACCAGAATGCTAAAGGCATGCTGCAATTTGTGAAATCAAGTGTCTTGGCTGCATCACTCAACTAAATACTGTGTAGAGGTAGAAGCACCCTGGGTTTTTTAATTTCTTTTTTCAGGCAAAAATCTCACTATGTAACCCAGGCTGGCCTCGAACCCCCACTCTTCCTGCAATTGTGAGATTGCAAGTGTGTGTCACTGTCCCAGGGTATTCACCAGAGAGAACTGCTCAGGCATGGGCGTTCGGGATCCCTGTGTGTGTAGCACTGAGCCTTTCTCGGGGTGAGCGTTTAAGCACAAAAACCTTGTGCTGGGTTGACATACTTTAGTTAACAAGATTGGTTAGCCAGAAGCCGAACTACAGAAGCCGAAAAGCAAGGTTAGTACATTTACTGTCCCAGAACTATGGACTTGATGGGTTAGGCCATTGTTTTAGTTTTGTCAGGTGGTGCTGTCTATGTGCTGCGTTTTACAGCCTGAATGGCACTTCCACCATGGAGTCAGTCGTGCTGTGGTCTGGGGCCTTGTGACAGTCACCACACCCCCGCTAACCCTTCACAGACATACATGCAGACAAAACACACACAAAAACAAACGAATAAATAAAAACAAGTCTTTAAAAAGCCTTCATAAAGTCACTAATGTAAGCGAGTTTGGTGTCCTCTTGTGTATTATGTAAGGCTGTGATAGTGACCCATGGAGCTGGTAAGGAGAGAGGAGGCAGACCCTAGCCACCTGCCACAAATTCCAGTGCCCGGTGTTCTACGCCGCAGGTAAAGAGGAGGAATGCCTTCCTCTCCCTGTAGGGCAAGGGTGGGTTAATTGCTTCCAATCATTGGAATCCGCTGGGGCAGGACGCTGAAATGGGATACAATGGCCGGTCCGTCTGTATCTACAGTCTGCACTCGTTCTCGTCAGCCTCATTCAAATTGTGGGAAGGCTGGCTGTTCTGGAGCCTTGAGCAGTGCCCCCAACCAAGAGACAGTGCAGGCGCTGGGTCCTTCTCTAGTACGGTTTTGCTTGCCTCCTCCAGGGCGCCTGCCTTTTCACTTTGGCGCCATCTGGCGCCCATTAAGCAAACAACGCCGCAGTAGGCTTTCGGCTTTAGTCTCTTTCCCAGATTGAACTGGTGCCTTTCCCTTTAAGAAGTTTCTCCCGGGAGGAAGAACTCGAGGGGACAGGCGGAGAAAACACTCTAGAAACTCCCTCAGATTGGTCCAGTCCGGACAAGGGGTGGACCGTAGCAAAATCCACATATATGAGTGGGTCCTCCTCCGGCTCCGCCCCGGGAACGCACCTAGACGCCGTGATTGGCCGGGATCCTGGGGCGACTCCGAGTGTGGCGCGGGGTTTGCACACTCCCGCGCGGCTGGGACTGCTGGGCGGGATGTCCCAAGCTGGTGGCGGTTCGCATGATGATGCGGGGCAAGAAGACGCTGCTGCTGCCGGCCGGTTCAGCTTCAGCCCGGAGCCTACGCTTGAAGACATGTAAGCAAGTCCTTGTCCAGCCTCGGGGGGAGAGATTGACCCTTTTGTCGTAGTGGGGAGGTCCGCTCCACGTGGTCCGCAAGAACAGCAACATGCTCGTGCCGTCGGGTCCTCCTGGCGGGCCTCTGGCAAGCCTAGCTAAATCTCAACTGCACGATGCGCACCTGAAGCCGGGAAAAATGGGTGACGCCCCCGGGCATGTTAGTACCAACCTTTAATGCAACTTTGGGAAGATAACGGAAGTCTGATAGTACCTGTGCTGCCCAGGAGTCGGGGGCAGTAGAACAGGGGAGGCTGAAGTGTAGAGAGATGTTATTTCTTGCAGAGTATCAAAGAAGGCCCCAGGGGAAGTTGTCTCAAAACCGCATCCGGTGATGAGCTGGATTTAAGCATGTGAAGATAGGGCGTTAAGGTAAGGTAGAGTATCGGCAGAAGTAGCCGAAGGAAAAAAAAAAGGTAATAGCGTTGCAAAATTTAGCTTGAAGCTAAAATCTATACGGGGCGCACTCATTTCTAGATGATAGAACAAGTCTTATTAAGAGGTAGTAACTTAATGTCATCCAAGATACTATGGGATTCCTACCTCTGCCCCACTTCTGTATGACCTGGACCCTGCATCTTGTCCCTTACCCTCTAACCCTGAGACTTGAACCACCACCCCTTTCTTTTTTCCAGTCGACGCCTCCATGCAGAGTTTGCTGCTGAGCGGGACTGGGAGCAGTTCCACCAGCCTCGGAACCTGCTGCTGGCCCTGGTGGGAGAAGTGGGCGAGCTGGCAGAACTCTTGTGAGTAGATGGGAGGCTCCCTGCAAGAGGCCGCGGCTTCGGGCGGCTTCGGGCTCCCTGCAAGAGGCCGCGGCTTGGGCGGCTTCGGGTGGCATGGGGAGGGAGCCTCAAACGCTGTGGTGGGCTTTATTTTCCTTACTGCTCTATTCTGTGCTGCTGCTGGGGATATAGAGATAACAGATGGGTCCCAGCCCTGCGGGGTGCCCAGTTTCCAGGGAGGGAAAGTGCAGAGACAGTGAGGCAGACCTAGGTTTAAGGACAGTTGTCACCAGCATTTTACCTCTGTGTGGAGTGAAAATAAGGAATTTCAAAATATTACCTGCCCAATGGCCTGCCAGGCAGGGAACTTCCACTTAGAAAGGTAGTGAGGGGGGCGCTGAGATTTCTCAGTGCTTAAGAGCACTTCCTGCTCCTGCAGAAGAGCTGAGTTCAGTTCCCAGCACCCCCACTGCGGGTCATAATGCCCATAACTTCAGTTTCAGGAGATCTGACACTCTCTTCTGGCCTTGGAGACTCCTGCACATACAGATACACAGGGGCTTGCACACACACCCATACAATAAACAAATACTTTTTAAAAAGTAGTGAGGCAAGAAAGGAGAAATTAAATTCTGGGAGAATCCAGTTCAATTTGAGGGATTTTGTGTGTTTTTGTTCTCTGGTGAGCCCAGGTGTCGGACCTGTTCTAGGCATTTTGTAGATGAAGGGTGCGCTGGAGGACAAGGGTGGGAGGCAAGCCCAGGTGGGTAAGGTTGGAGCTAGAAGGTGATGGAGCTCCAACAGAAGGCCTGATCTGAGTCTCAGAAAGACCTCTGTGCCTGCAGGGCGGATTGGACGTCTGAAAGAATGGGGTAGAGTAGACTAGGGAGCTCATGGTGTAGACCTACATCTGGGCAGCCACTGTGGAGATGAAGGAGAAGGCACACAAGATATGTCTGAGGGTGGGCTGTTCCTTTTTTTGTTTTTTCGAAACAGGGTTTCTCTGTAGCTTTGGCTGTCCTAGAACTCGCTCTGTAGACCAGGCTAGCCTCGAACTCATAAAGATCTGCCTCCCGCATGCTGGGACATGCACCACCCAGCAAAAGTCATTTTAAGATTTATTTATAGAGTGTTCTGCCTGCATGTATGCCTGCAGGCCAGAAGAGGGTACTCAGGACCCTCCTGTGGCAGGGCAGCCAGCTCTGAGACATTTCTCTAGCCACAGGCCACTCCTCTGTTTACAGATGAATTAGTATCAGCTATGTGTTAGGTCATCTGGACCCAAAAGATGGGGCTGTCTCTGGTTCTAGTGGAAGGTGACTGATAATACATGACCTATGATGGAGAGATGGCTCAGTGGTTAAGAGCACTGACTGCTCTTCCAGAGGACCCGGGTTCAATTCCCAGCAACCACATGGCAGCTCACAGCTGTCTGTAACTCCAGTTCCAGCAGATAAATTATTTTAAAAAAATACATGAGCTGATTTTGAATGACCTGGAACTGTGGTGAGGGCTAAGAGGGGGAAAGTCAGATGTTGTGCTATGAGGTGAAGTCACAGCACGTGGGAGGAAGCAGCCAGATGATCGGGTGTTCATCCTTGACTACCTGAGACCCTGTCTCGGGAGTGAAAGGGAGGGGAGATGAGAAAGTAAGCTTCTGAGGTGGTAACTTCTGACTTGAGACCTAAGTATCAAGAGTGGGAAAATCTAGGGCGTGGCAGGTGAGTCGAGAAAGAAGAATTGACTGCAGACAGGAAGGTAGTATTGGCTTCCAGTGGGAAATTAGCGGGTGAAGATAAGTTAACTGGCTCCATCCAGAGCCTAGGCAGCTGGATTGTCCTTGGAGGGATATTCTGAGATGTGCCATTGTGATGCTTGGTAGACTGGAGGGGGCCCCACTGAACTAGCAAGCTTTTGTCCTGTTCTCTTTCCAGTCAGTGGAAGTCTGATGCAGAGCCTGGTCCTCAAGACTGGCCACCAAAGGAAAGAGCAGCCCTTCAAGAGGAGCTTAGTGACGTCCTCATCTACCTGGTAGCATTAGCAGCCCGTTGTCATGTGGACTTACCTCGAGCAGTACTCTCCAAAATGGACACCAACCGGCGACGTTACCCAGTGCATCTCTCCAGAGGTTCCGCCTGCAAGTACACAGACTTGCCCCATGGGACCATTTCTGAAAACCAGGCTGAGGGGACTGCAAACCCTACCTCTGAGTTGAAAAACCAGACCACCACCTAGAATCACCATGTCTGAACAGCAGAGATAGACTTGTTCTAGTCTGGTCTTACTAAGTCATGGGTCTGAGGCCCAAGAGTCTCCAAAAGATAGTCTACTGGATCTTCTCTCTCAATAAAATGATTTAAGGCAACAATGTCTAGATTTTTCTTGGGTAGCTAGATAGACTGTATATCTCAAGTCCTGTAGAGAAGCGCAGTGCTCTCCCAGTGTAACTAAGTTTGTTAGTTGCTATTTTGCCTTTTCAACTTAAGAGTTACAAAAGCGAGAACTGGAAGTATTTGTGGCCACAAGTCTTGGGGAGTGCAGAATACAGCTTCCTTTCCTCTTTGGGCCCTTGGTACAAGTATGGCCACCCACCCCTCACCTGGCTAATCCTGTTCTTCCTCTCCAGCTAGATGGTATTGAGTGAATGATTTATATGGTGTGTGACCTAAGATACACCACTTGCCCTAAGACGCGTAGGCTTGCCTTCTGAGAAGAGGGATAACTCAGGGAAAGCAGTGGTAGTGATTATCTGCCCCTAATGACTCTTCTTGCCTTCCCAGATAAAACAACTCCTCAGATTAAAACAGCTTTAGTTTTATATTCCCCAAACCACTGAATAATATAACATTTAGTTTTATTCCATGTATATAATCAAATCTGCAGTCTTGTCTCTGGAGCTCCAGGGTTCTAATTTTTTTCTTTACCTTCTAGACAATTTTTTTTCCTTTTCAAGCTTTTCAAAAAAGGGTTTTTCTGTGTAGCCCTGGCTGTCCTGGTACTCTCTCTATAGGCCAGGCTGGCCTCAAACTCAGAGATCCACCTGCCTCTGTGCCCCCCACAACCCAGTGCTGCCACCACTGTGACAAATCCCCCCCGAGACAGGGTTTCCCTGTGTGGCTTTGGAGGCTGTCCTGGAACTAGTTCTTGTAGACCAGGCTGGTCTCCAACTCACAGAGATCTGCCTGCCTCTGCCTCCCGAGTGCTGGTGACAAATCTTAAAACATGACTTTTGATAAGGATGCTAGAGTGTGACTCTTCATAGTTGATGGCTTCTGGCAGGGGTGGAGAAAGGCTCAGTTACCTTTAAGGGCTGGCCACTGGAAGTTTAACCATGCTCCAATGAGTATATGGGCAATACAAATTGAACTTGATGGGCTTTTTTTTCTTTTTTGTGGGGAGGGCACAAGGTTGGGAGCGTGAACCTGGAGGGAATCGGAAGTGTGATCAGGATACACTGAAATTTCCAAATCAATAAAAACATGGAAAATAAAGGTGTACACAAGAGGAAAAACACACATCTTAGAGGGTTAGAGAAATTGCTCAGCAGTTAGCACACTTGCTGTTCGTTTTTCATTGTTGAGACAAGTTCTCATTGTATCCTTGGCTGGTCTGAAATTTGCTGTGTAAACCAGGCTGGCTTCGAACCAGAGAGATATATACACCTGCCTCTGCCTCCCGAGTGCTGAAGTTAAAGGCGTGCGCCACCACCTTCTTGCAGAGGACTGAGTTGTGTTCACAGCACCCACATCGGGCAGCTTACAAATGCATTAACTCTAGCTCCAAATCTTCTCCTTGTGGACTTAGTTGGCATCTGCACTCAAGTGGGCACAAATCCAGACTCCTACATAATTCCATTCCAGAGACCCACATGGGCAGGGAGAGAGCAAACACCTGCAAGATGTCCTCTGACCCACACGAACACCATGGCAACAGCCACCCCATAGTAAACATTTAAAACTCTATTAATCGCACACACGCAATCCCAGCATTGAGGAGGCGGAGACAGAAGGGTCCAAGTTTGAGGAGTTTGGGCTACAAACCAAAACTATCTTATATGTATGAATGTCGTGGCTACGTGTGCGTACCATACAGTGCCTGGTGCCCGTGTAAGTCATAAGACGGTTTTGGATCCCCTAGAACTGTAGTTATGGATGCTTGGAATACCCAGAGCCTCTGCAAGACTTAAAAATTGTGTAGTTAAGTACACACACACACACCGGAGAAGAGTCGGTGCCTTCTTTGCCCCGTCACAGTTCTGGTGAACACCTGTGATTGCCAATTTCCCTGTCCTTGCTGTGCCATTCACTAGCTGTCTGCAAAAGTAAAGATAAGATGAGGTTTGGAGCTAGGTGTGGTGGTGTAAATTTGTAATCTCAGGATTCAGGAGGCAGAAAGAAAATCCCCCAAAGCTCAAGATCAGCATCGTGTATACAGTGCATACACTTGGGGTTATATATCGAGACCCTAACTAAATGAGGGGAAAGCTAATGTACCTACATAAATCCTAAATCTATATAGCCCCATTTGCCATACTGAACCCCAAAGGAGGTCATGTAGACATTCTGTTTATGGTTCCTTTTAAGAACTGAGATTAAGGTCAAAGGCCAGTTGTGTGATTTTCCCAGTCCCAGGGCTCCCTTTAGGATATTTTATAGCCCCACTTGGTTCCGTTATACC